CGAGCCGCAGCGCCCGGCGGACCGTGCGGCCGAGTATCCGGCGGGTTAAACTGAGCGCCGAGATTTGGGGAAGTGGGAGCCTCGGGGGCTGGGGGTCCCGCGGAGCGTCCGCCACGCGCTGTTTGTTTCCTTTCACTTCCTGCCGCAGCTGCTCAAGATGAAGAGCGTGGGGCTGGAGAGGTGCGGCTTGGTCTCCTGGATCTGAGCACTCACCCCTCTCCGTCGCCAGGACTTCCCGGGCCCACCTGGGTTTCAGCCATGCGTGCTTGGTGATTAAGTTGGCGGCGTTGGGATTCGTGGACCTGAGACTTCGGGAGGGAATGCTGGCTCGGTTTTGAGTGGCTTGGGGAAAGTGAGGAGCCCCCAAAATGGAGGACTTTTCTACGAGGACCTATGGCACCAGTGGCTTGGACAACAGACCTCTGTTCGGAGAGACGTCAGCAAAGGTGAGTGGACCGGGATTCCGGGCCGGGGTGTGTTTATTTATCTGTTTCCCTGCTTGTCTGCCCTCTGGCCTACAGTCCGAGCCAGCTCCTTTTGTGGTTCCTGGAGTCACTTGTTGGAAGAAAAGGGCTCGTGCTTCAGCTCTGCTTCCCTCTCAAGATATTTGCCCTGCCACTCGTCCCCCTCTTTGGCGCTGGATTGGCCCACAGCTTTGAACAGCGGTGGTGTAGAGAAGTTCAGAAAGTTCTGGATTGTTGGGGGTTTTTAGGGCAGTGCAGAGGCCTCTCTTTGGAGGGGCGGCGTATTGTGGTCAGGTTGTACAGCCATCGGTGGAACTGGAGTGCTCACCTTCAAAAGGCTTCACAAGAGCGCCAGAGGTAGGAGCCACAGATTGACCACTGTTTATTTAGGGCACTGAAGAGGTCACTGCTGAGGCAGCCAAGCAGAGGAGAGAGACCTGAAACGGAGGGCTGCCTTGATGGCTCATCATTTCAGAAAGTGAACAGAGACTCTCTGGACCCAAATAAGCTGTAGTACATTATTTTCAGATTTTTAAAAGTGTAAAATAAAAAGTTTTAAAAAGTTTGCTTTTTACAAACTTAATTATGTGAAGTCCTGAGCCAAGAGTTGAAGAGCAAGCCTTTCCTGTCATCAACGTTATCTTGAAGTAGTTTGCACAAGATTTAACCCGTTGGGTTTTGTTTTTTCCCCACCTAGAAGTAGCATTGGTGATCTTTGACACCTGAAAGTACTTTGACTTCTCACAAAATCAGGTGTAAATGGATTCCTGAGCTGCTTGAGTTTCTCAACTTAGGGCACTTCTACACCTGATAACTTTGGGTGTAGCCTTGAATTTGTAGCCCTGCAGGCCTGTGACAAAAAAAGACATTTTTTTTTTAACTTAAAACACTTGCGTTTCATTTTCTCAACGTGTCTTAATAAGAACATGCTGATAAAGAAAATGTTTTTAAGCTTGAACTCTAGGAAGAGGGACCATTTTATCGAATGGCTTGGCATAATCCTTAGCCACAATTCCATTTGGTTTGAGAAACATGGATCTGGCTAGCATTATGTGCTAGGCCTAAGGCTGGGGAGTCTGAGGAACTCAGTCAAGTACCACAGGAACCCAAAACAGGTTGTCATTGAATCTGCTAGCACAGGGGCTTCAAGGGCACCTTAGGATACAGCAAAGAAACTAGTAACTTTCCAGTGAGAAGCTTGGGAAAGACCTTAGAGGATAGCTTTTCCATTCAGTCTGTGGTAGCTTTAGACTTTCCAATGTGAAAGTAGAACCTCTAAATTGGGGTTCTACTGGAAGAGGATTTGGGGAGTAGAGGCAGTTTTGCTGCCTGAAGAGATCAGACTCAGGGCATCTGGCTCTACTAGTGCCCCAGAGCTGAGAGGTTCACTTTTGCTCTCACATGCGTTAGGACACAAATTGGGGTTCCCAGGTGGTTTGGTTCAGACTTCTGATCCTCTTTATTGCTGAATGCAGAGTAGATGACTTGGTAATGGACTTGTTGATTTTTATAGTTAGAGATATTGATGTTTTCTGATTAGCTTGGGCTGAAATCTTCAATGACTTAAGTTTATTGCCTGTGATCTATTTGAAATCTGTATATTTTCCAAATGTATCTCTGTTTATTGCATACTTATTTAGTCCAAGAGTGTATAGTGTTATTTAGGCAATTTTAGGCATTCTAAGGATAGATTCAGCTACCCAAAGAAAAAGTTAAGAGTACACATAATTCCAGATTTCTGAAAATTGCCTCCTTTCATTCTCTGTGAGGCTGACAGGATGATTGCACATAGAAGAATTGTCTAGAATAAAGAAGAGAGATATCTCTGGTTTAAGGATGGAGAAAGTATCCTATTTATCATAAATTGAGACCCCAGGAGAGGTCTCGTCTTTATTGACAGCAAACTCTTTTGAGACCCAAGGTGGTGGGCAAGGCTCAGGAGTGCAACTCAGTAATGAAGGCTTCGGACACGTAACAGGGGAACCTTCCCCACAGAGGAGTCCTGGTTGAACCTTTCCTGGCTCTGGTATGTGATGTTCCCAGTTGGCTCTCTTTCAAATGCCTGGAAACTGGACACAACAGCCAGTATTAGTGAAACACCCACTTTGGAGGAAAACATCCAGAAAAAGAAAACCTATTCCTGTCATACTCCCACAGTTCTTTGGAACTTTTAGTTATAGTATTTGCCTTAAGACAACTAACCATATATAGCTTCTCAATTTTAAATTAATAGAGAGAACCAGCGCCTTTAAGGACAGTCTTTAACAGTAGGGCAGAAATAACTTCTGCCCATAGAGTAGGTTCTGGAGGGAAGTTTGTGTTTCCTCAAAGCCAAGCACCAGGCAAAACTGTTTTCATCTTTTCCTTATTTGATTATCAGATTCTTTTGTAAGATGGACCTTGTTCCTATTTTACCACTTGGGCAGGTGAACCTTAAAGCAGATTCCTTGTTCAGTCCCACAACTGCTTTTGTAATGTTTCACGGTGCACATCCATATACCTGCTGCCCTTTCACAAGAAATGGGTGAAGTAGTTTGCCCAAAGTCAGGGAGTTTTGAAAGATCTGGAATCCATTTTAGAACATTTGTGTAACCCAGTGGGCTTTGAGCAGCACCCTTGAGGACATTCCTGGAAGAACCTTCTGTTCTTAGCTGTACTGGATGCATATGGTGATTTTGGTTACCCAGCCCACATTTTATTCAGTCCTTAGCACGCTCTTTTGGAATAATTTTACGAATGGAGCCTTGGAGCAAAAGGTGAAAGGAAACTGCTTTTTTTATCACTACGTAAATATCTAAGAAAAGGAAGAATGATCATCTTTTGTAGAATCATTTCTCATTTCTTGATACCTTTGGAATTACCTATTGCTGGTAAACCTTCTTTAGAGCTGTAGTCAGAAAGTCTGGTTGCTTCCTCCTTCTCCCCCCATTTTTTTTCTGTTTTGCTTTTTTCTACAATTTTATCCATTCCTAAATTCTGTGATGCAAAAACAAATGTGCATAGATGAGTGATAATGTACATCTGAGGTTTTTTTTTTAATTATTTATTTGTAAAGATTTACTTATGCATACAGAACTGGGGTGCAGGCCAGAGGGGCTGTGAGAGGATTCACCAGAGACAGAATGGGGAACAGAACAGGCAGATGGATGATGCTGCTGAGGGGAGCAGTGGGCAGGTCAGGAGAGGTCTGCTGCGCCATGTGGGTCAGCTCCCTGGTAGGGGATTGAACTGTGCTGAAGCTGCTGCTAGCGTCTAGCTTCATAGTGCTCTGCTTTAACCCCTTGTGCCACGAGGGAGGGCCCCATTTGAAGTTTTTAAACCTGTGCTGTAATTTAGCACCTTCTAAAGGAGTGCAGGCTAGTATAAGTATTATGTGAGTCACAAAGGTTTTAAATGTCTTGGTAGCCAAGTTAAAATGTAAACAGATGAAATCAATTTTAATAGCTCCATATATCCAAAGTAGTGTCATTTCAGTATACAATCAAAACACTACAATTTCTCTGTACAATCAACATGAAGGGTACTGGTAGTTCTACATTTATTTATTTATTTTTTTTTGCTTAAAACCCAACCCAGTTTGCACAGGCATGTTTTCAGGTGCTCAGGAACCACCTAGCTAGAACTACCTTGTTGAATGGCAGACTTCTTAAGCCAGTTATTAGTCTGGTGGTGCCATACTCATGTTTGGGAAATGGTTTTTTTTTTACTCCGAGACTTCTCATGTGCTACTTTTCACCGGGACTATAGTTCGTGGGAAAGTAGTACTTTTAGAACTATTTGGGGTTCTGCCTTTAATTAAGCACACTGCCCTACCCAATTCTTAGCTCCTCCGCACAGGACCATTCCTGAGCCCAGCTTCCACAGAACCCTTTAGGAATGTTGTCTAGGAATCTCCTTCCCATCTATCCCCTCTTACCCAACTCACTTTGAAAGTTTGCTCCAGGACAGCACTGTTGGGGTCTCTTCTGTCGTGCACTAGAAAGGCATTAGGTTGTCTTGGGGCTTAAGAGTCCATCTAGATAGCTTGATTTGCAAGCTGACAAACCATCTGAAGTCAGTTCCAATCCAGAATTGTTTGGAAGCCTTAGAGAGGAGAGTGGGGATGGCTATGTCTTTAAGAGAAAGCACACTCATGGCTAGAGGTTGTGTAGACCTGAGGAGTGCTACTGCTGTTTCCTCTTGACAGCTTGTGGGTGATCCTCTGAGCTCAACACCTGTGTCCTGTCTCAGGAATCAGTTCCGCTTTCCCCTTGCCTTGCTTCCATCCTGGCTCTTCACTTTTATTAAAAGTGTCATTTCTTATACCAGACACTTACTTTCAATGTTTTTTCTTACCCACCCCCAGACCAGGGGGTTGGACTCAGCTGTTGGTCTTTTCAAAAAGCTCCTGAGAGGATGCTGGTACATAAGGAAGGGTGGGATCCCCTAGTCTTAACTCAAGTTATGTAAGCCTGGTCCAGCCTCACATCTCTCCATGGACCCCTTTCTTTTAGCTGTCTCCCTGCTCCTGCAAAGCTCAGTCTTAACTCCCTGCTTGAGAATTTCCCTTACAACTCAGCCTACTCATGTGCTTCCTTCCTAAGAGCCTGGGGGTCAGAAAAGCCCTAGGACTTAATTCTTTATGCTGTGAGAAATATGTTTAGATATGGCTCTCCAACTCAGTACAAGTTCCTTGAGTGCAGGTGCAAATAGCTCTATTTCTCTGGCTTAGTACTAGACACAATACCTACCCAATTCTTGATTTTATTTATATTAATTTTTAAGGTAAGATTTAGCATCACTAAAAATAACCTGTATTCTTGGGACATTTGAACCTACACTATGTGGGGACTGTCTTCAGAAATCTAGAATGCGGGACACCCAGAGTTTCCTCAGGCTCTCAGGCAGTTGAAGGCCTTCCTCTCGCCTCTCATGAGCCACAGCACACAGCACACAGGCCATAGAATGGGGGTAATGCGAAATTGTATACAAAGTTAAGCTGA